TAATCATTTTAGGGCTTAATGCTAAGGAAAATGGCGAAATATTGAATGGTCTTTCAAGCTAGCAAGTGATGTGGTTGGATTTGAATTTTAGAATGTTAACCTTAGGAAGAGTATGGGAGCAAGACAAGAAATGGTATAGCACTTAAGAGTTTATCACAGTGATCTGTTTGAAAGGATGGAGGTATTGACTATGGTGGTGTCAATGAGAATGCAGTCAGTGTACCCATGACTCAGCTACTGTTAGTCAGGGTTGCTAACAGGTCACATTACTAGCCTCCTCTAGACGATGTTCCGGAGAAAATTGTAGCTGTCTAACATTCAGGGTCATGCTGACAACCACAGGGTCCATGAATGGCCAATGATAGACTGGCAGTAGGTACATAAAGCAGTCTCTCTTATCTTTAGTTGGGAACAGTTCTGTAGTACAATTTGTACTTCAGAGCTCCTGTGGCTACAAACTGAAGGCAGACAACAAGGGAGACCACAAGCATTCTTACAACTTGCATAGTCTTCTTCACTTGGTTCGTTTCTTCTGTGAGGGGCTATCTAAGATGCAACTATTGGTCTCTTCTCATTTGGAGCAGTCCAGGGATAAGATGAATCACAAGGACCTCAGCCTTAGTGACCCTGAGACCAGAAGAGCTAGATGGTATGTGGCTACCAATGTCACTCATTGGGATCAAAATTGGAGATCCTGGATAGACTGGGATGAAAATGTAGAACAAAATTCAATAACACAAAAATGGCCAGAATTCCAACAAACATATGAGGAAATCCTCACAATAATTAGCCGTTAGAGAGATGCAAATCAAAACAACAATGAGACACCATCTTTCCCCAGCACTAGTAGCAAAGTTCAACAAGATACAAAATAACAAATGCTGGTAATATATATATACCCATTACTAGGTATATATCCTAAAGAAGTGAGAGCCATGACAACAACAGACATATGCACACCCATGTTCATTGCAGCAATATTTACATTAGTCAAAAGATGGAAACAACCTAGGTGTCCATCAGCTGAGGAATGGATAACCAAACTACGGTACATACACAAAATGGAATACTATGCAGCCCTAAAGAATA